AAGCTGAGGAGGAATCTGAAAGTTAGATATGCATATTCCCAACCTTCTGAAGCCACAGATACAAAGAACAGAATTTCAAGGCTTGCCATGGTGGGTATTCTCCTTGTAAATTCCCCCACTCTAGAACCAAAGGTTAATATCCTAAAAATAAGAGGGAACCAGAAATAAACCAGCTCTCAATGTATTTAAGTAGGCTTTGTGTCAAATGGATGGCCAAGGACACAGAAAATCTTAAATTTTATATGCACCCCAGGAGTCTAGCAGAAGCAACAAAAATTGTCCTGTGTCTCAAATTATTTCTATAAATAATTTTTCAATTATACAGCACACAATCAGAGAGTCCCCATCAGAGATTCCTCTCTGCACTGATCAGCTCAGGAAGCTTCTTTATTGAAGAATTCAGTTGTCCTGCTTCCCTGTTTTACTCTTCCTAGTCACTGTTCTTTTTCACTGAGACCATCTTTCTGGGCTGTCCTAGTTGCTGCTTCTGCTTGTAAACACCTTTTCACCCTGTTGCATTTGCTCAGATACTTGGTGCCACAAATAGCTGTACAAAAGACTTTTCAGGTGGATTCCAGTACTGGACCAATGAAACAGTGATAAGAACCCCATTATCGTTGATGAATGGAGTGATGGTATCTTCTGCTGGCATGCAGAAACCTCACAAATACTAGGATGTTCCCTGCTATGAACTGGAATGGTGGAGGAAGATGAAGCATTAGTTTATGTGTTAGTGATAACACAGAAAAATATGTGGTCAACATTCATTTTAAGCAAAGTAGAACAAGCTGACTTGAGTTCTAGTCTAATAGGAGGAAAAGAAAATGGCACGCTTTGGTTAGCCAACTATCAAGCCCCAAGAGTGCTGAAAGTTTCCACAGAAGCACAAAGCGCTGCCTCCTGCCTCTGCCATAGGATAGCTGCAGAAACTCAGTCCCAGGGGTTGAGTGTGCATGCAGCCCAGCTGCAAAGAGGAGCATCTACAGCCTCACAGGTCTCTGATATCAGCGTCAAGACCCAGATAAAGAGACACTAGATCTTTACACATGGGATAGATTATTTAGAAGGATAAACATGACAGCCTTGAATTCTGGATTCCTCTGAACACCAAAAGCAGCAGTGTCTGCCTCCTCCCTGGAGAAAACAGCTTCCCATGCCTGCATACCCTGCAAAGACCTCACCTGATGGAGGAACCTCACCAGGTGTGTCTCTCCCAAGATCTGCTTCCACCTCTACATAACCAACCAACAGAGGAAGCAAAAACAGAAGTTGGCTCAATGTGTTTGTGCTGTCACACAGCAGCCTGTCTACAAGGACAGTAGTCAAGGAAAATCCTCGCAGGCTATTTTACAATCAACCCACTTTATATCCAGAGATAAAAGGTTTGGATATGGCTAAATGTGATCATTTAGGCATTAGTGAGTAGTTGGGTGGTCTAGGCCCTGGAGAAGGCAAGACTAGAAGAGCAGAAACAACAAAGTCTAAGAGCCAGAGAGATGGATTTATGGGGTGAGTAAAAGTCAGAGAATCATCACATTTTACCTTACATTATTGTCTGCTAGACATGAACCCTCCCAGAGATGCATGCAACAACCAAGATGGGATGGCTTGTGTAAGCATCAGCCAGTTTCTTAGCTTATCCAGAGATGTTACAGTTGGGTCCTTAGCAGAGAGGCCCTGATGGCAGGAATATGACTCTGTCTGGGCTCCCTGTCACTTGGGCTGTCCTAGCTGCTGCTACTGCCAAAAGCCCAGAGCAACTGCTTCAGTGTGAGAAGAACCAGTGCTGAGCCATTAGTGTGACTCTACTGCGGGGACCATCCAGTCTCCTCATTAGCAAGTTGATTCCAGTAGACCCTTTGCACCCAAGAGAGCGACAATTCATCTTTTGGAAATTAGCAGGTACTTAAGTTAAGATTTTGCTTTTCCTGTCTGCAGTTCTTCCACACCAAGCCATTAAAACTATCAGAATCCCAGCTGTGTTACTCATTGGCTATGATTTGAACTTCTTTTGAATGTTTATGTTTTGAGATTGATGTCAAAGTTAAATGAGCTAATACATGCAAAGCATCATAGTTTATACTCAGTGTTTGCTATTTTAATTCTTATCAGATGAAGAAAATTTCCTTCTCTTCCTAATTTATTAAAATTACTCTTAGGTTAAAATAATGCAATTTGAATATTATTAAATGATTTTACCATGGTGGTCAGCGTGTTAATTTGGCTAGGCTACAATGTTAAATGGTTCAGTCAGCCTAGTGTAGATGACCCTGTGAAGGTAGTTTGTAGATGTAATTAACATTTAGAGTCAATTGACTTACCTCCTGGGTGGGACTCATCTGATCAGTTAAAGGCCTTAAGAACCAAAAGCCAAACAGACAAAAACCCCTGATGTTTCTTGGAGACAAAGGAACTCTATCTCTAATCTGTAACAGAAATCCTTCTTAAATTTCCAACCTGCTTGCCTGTCCTGTGGATTTTGGATGAGACTGAGTGCTTAGCTCTTGGTGGCTGCCCTGCCCTGCACATTTCACTCAGTGGCCCCACAATTATGTAACTGAGCGAGCCAATTCTTTAATCTCCCCCCACTTCCATTCCATATATTTTTTCATCCAAAATCATAGGTCTTAGGCACATTCTTGACTCAATGAATCTTCATTTTCTTCTCATTAAAATGGGTTTACTAATATCATCAGTATTATATGGAGGGTTAAATGAAACGTGTTTTAGCAAGAACTAAAACAGAGCTTCCTGAACTCCCTGGTTCTGTTTCAGAGAATGTTCATGTGCATTTGGCCCTGGTGAGAGGCTGTGTATGGGAATCTGTGCAAGTGGACATGGCCCTCTGAGTATGTGGCCCGCATTCTGGATCAGACATAGTGCCAGTCCCTGGGTGAGACAGAGCTGAGCAGTGACGCTTTCAGGACACCTGCAGCCACCTGGGAAGTCTGATGTGCTGTCACCTGCCAACTGCTCTTCTTTCCACACCCGTGTGAATGTAGTTTCTTTACTGGTCAACATCTACTATTCCATCTAACATTGCAGTAAGAAGCTTTTGTCTTTTCAACTCACTCCATTTCTTTCCCTTTCTAGCCAGAGGAAAAGAAGATCCTGTTTTTCAAAAGAAAGAACCAAAGTTCAGGAGTCAGAAGGTTGGGATGTTATTGTCATTTATGTCCAGCGCTGCTGAGGAAATACAACCTTTTTGTATATTAGATTATTCATCTGTCACTGGTTAATGGAGCCTGGCCAACCTACTTCATGTGGTCATTAGAGCCAATGGGGAAATTAATATGTATAAGGAACTCAGCCAGGTCCTCTATTAGTTAACTTACATAATGATTTACATAAGTTATTTAGGATAAACTTGAATAAGTGGGTTTGAAAAGTTACAGTATTGTTTGGAATATTTTTAAATGTGTTATTTTAATGAGATATCCTAGAAGGAACTCAGTTCTCAGATTTTTGTAACCTTGTCAGGAACAGTTGAGGGGACAGAAGAAATGAAAGAGGTGAAGGAGCTTGACATTTCAAAATCATGAGCATGGACCGCTGTGTAGAGGCTGTGGTGTGGTGGGTGAAAGCGTGGTTGCTTGGGTTTGAATCCCAGCTCTGTGTAACCTCTGGCTTTCAGTTCCTTTATCTGTACTAAGTAGGTTTGTACCTCATGGCATTATTGGAAGACTAAATGGTTTGATTTATAAGATGAATAGCGACAGAGACCATAAAGTGGCTCTACAGACCATGCGTGCTCCTGTAGATCAGAGGAGATGACAGAGTGTCCACTTAGGACATCAGCAGTAAATTGAACATGTGCAATGCCCTGGGATTGTGGGGGTGGCAGGTGTGGGTGGGGTTTGCATGAATCATGACTGGCCATGAGTTAATGATGATAGGTGCTTGGTAGTATCACACAGACCTTTGCTATACTGTTTCTTTACTTTTGAAAACAGTTAAAATTTTCCTTATTAAAAGTGCTTTTCGGAAAATGTTGGCCTGGGAAATCCACTAGTTCCATATCTATATGCCATCAGTTCAGTCCACCTTCGCAAATGATTGCTTAGTGGACTGGGAGATTAAGAGCTGATAAAATGATACAAAGTTGTGTTCACTTCATGCTTATTTTTATCAATTTCTTTCATTGAGCACAATTGACAAAATCATGTATATTTAAAGTATATGACATGTTTTGAGGTGGCATATACATTGTGAAATGATTATGACGATCAAGTTACTAACATTTATATTTTAGGAAGCATTTGATGCCTAAATTTTTTTTTTTTTTTTTTTTTTT